GACGTCATCATGATTTAGAATGACGTTTATCGTTGGTGCTGTTGCTGTTGGTATTGATGTTCGTGCTGGTGATGTAGCCACGGCTGTTGTAGCTGTAGTTGGTGACGTAGCTGTAGCTGTTATAGCTGCTGTTGGTGTCGTAGCTAGTGACGTAGCTACAGTAGCTGTTGTTGGTGACGTAGCTACGGCTGTTGGTGATGTAGTTGTGGCTGCTGCATCTGCGTTATTTTGTTCGTTACTGACAGTAATTGTGTTTGTTGCTGGTGCTGGTGGCAACTGTCCAGGCGTTTGTGAAGTTGTTGCTGTAGTTGCTGCTGATGCTGTTGTTAAAGTGTACGAAAAAACCCTTCCCTAAGAAATTTTAATTTGAATTAAATAATCAATTGCACACACGCTCGTGCACACACACACACACACACACTCACACACACACGCACACACAAACGCATACACACACACACGCACAGAGACACACACATACCACAAAGCTAACCTCGAGAACGACTGCATTGGGGTTGGTAAATGAATTAAAATGATTAGGAGTCATTACGAATTGATCAATTGATCGAGAAGGGAGAAGAATAAATCGAACAATTTAAAATATTTTCCAACAGTTTCAACATTTCATTCTGAATTATCGTCACAATAATAATAATAATATTAATAATAAACAATAATAATAATAATAATAATAATAATAATAATAATAATAATAATGAATAATAATAATGAATAATAATAAATAATAATAGTAACAATGATAAAGGAACTATGATGGATAGAACTCGTGGAAGTGTAAAAACAATTAGCCATATTTATATTTTAATTATAATAATAATTATCTATATTTAAATTACCTATAATTATATTTTAATTATAACTATAATTATCTATATTTAAATTTTAATTATAACTATAATTACCTATAATTATATTTTAATTATAACTATAATTATCTATATTTATATTTTAATTATAACTATAATTATCAATATTTATATTTTAATTGAAACAATAATTATCTATAATTATATTTTAATTATAACTATAATTATCTATAATTATATTTTAATTATAACTATAATCAGCTGCACTCACATAGGTTGTCAAGAGACCACCTGACACAAAATCCAATCTGCCGGAGCCTAAAATCCAGTTCGTTGTCATGATGGCATTCCAGGCCTGACAGGATGTTGTCTTCCTTCAATCGATCCAAAATGGTGCATTTATTTTCGCCTACGTGTTTGTTTGTGCGTGTGTGTGTGTGAGTGTTTGTGTGTGTGTGTGTGTGTAGTTTAGTCTGTTTGTCTGTACGTGTGTTTGTGGTTATGTGAGGTGTGACGTGCGTGCGTATAAGTGTATGTGTGTATAACTGTGCGTCTGTGTATATATATACATACATATGTGTGATTGTGTGTATATATATATATATATATATATATATATATATATATATATATATATATATATGATATGAATTCTACCGAATTGTTGGCGTTAATCATTTTGGTAGAATTCATTTTATACAATACTGTATAAAATATGGCCTCCTTCCAACATATATGTAGAGTGTATATATATAAATGTGTGTGTGTGCGTTCGTGTGTGTGTATGTGTGTGACTGTGTGTTTGCTGAAACTAATAAATACTTGAAGTAATATAATAACATAAACATACAAATATTTGACCTGTGAGGGTGAACTTTTCAAGGGCGATCAGGGCGAATAAGGTCAAGGAAGGGTCCGATTGGTCCTTCTAAAATTGTGGCAATAATTAATTATCAAATTATTTATTATTATAGTTTATTATTATTATAGTTTATTAATATTATTGTTGTTGTTATTATTATTATTAATTTTCAACCATTTATTCAAAAAACTGATAATAATTGGAAAACAAAAGAAATAAAAACAAAGCAGACATACAATGCATCGGAATAAGAATGATAGAATCATCTCTGATAGCAATATGACACTTAGTGGCCCTGTTTTGATGGTGATGATGATGATGTCGATGATGATGATGATAGAACTGTAACGACGATGAGGATGAAGATGACGACGAAAATGACGTCATCATTGTCGTCATAATCATCATCATCATCATCCTCGTCATAATCATCATCATCATCCTCGTCATAATCATCATCATCATCATCCTCATCATCGTCATCACCATGACTAACCGGCCATTTTTTCAGCCAGGCAAGCTAGTAGTATACAAATGTTCATCTTCCTGTTCATTTTAACATTCGGTGGAACCCTGCCCTGGTCGTTAACATTCAACGTTTCGCTTAGTTTCGTTATCAGTTCCTGTGTATGTTTGTGCGTGTATATAAGTATTTATGTATGTATGTATGTATGTATGTATGTATGTATGTATGTATGTATGTATGTATGTATGTATGTAGGTATGTATGTATGTATGTAAGTATGTATGTATGTAAGTATGTATGTATTATTATTATTATCATTAAAATTTATGAAGCGCTTATTAAAAATAAGTGTTAATTTTTCAAAAGCGCTATCCTATAATTAACAAATCATTGACGAATGACACCAAAAGCCAAGCGTCTGACTAAATTTGATTTTATTTGCTATAACGTCACTCAACCCCGTCGGCATTCAACTCCAC